ATCACTCCGCCCCATTCTCCCGCTTTCCATCACCCCGACCCATTCTCCCACTTTCCATCACCCCGCCCCCTTCTCCCTCCTTCCATCACCCCGCCCCATTCTCCCTCCTTCTATCACCCCGCCCCATTCTCCCGCTTTCCATCAACCCGCCCCATTCTCCCGCTTTCCATCACTCCGCCCCATTCTCCCTCCTTCCATCACCCCGCCCCATTCTCCCTCCTTCCATCACCCCGCCCCATTCTCCCGCTTTCCATCACCCCGCCCCATTCTCCCGCTTCCCATAACCCCACCCTATTCTCCCGCTTTCCATCACCCTGCCACATTCTCCCACTTTCCATCACCCCGCCCCCTTCTCTCTCCTTCCATCACCCCGCCCCATTCTCCCTCCTTCCATCACCCCGCCCCATTCTCCCGCTTTCCATCAGCCCGCCCCATTCTCCCGCTTTCCATCACCCCTCCCCTTTCTCCCACTTTCCATCTCCCCGCCCCATTCTCCCGCTTTCCATCACCCCGCCCCATTCTCCCGCTTTCCATCACCCCGCCCCATTCTTCCGCTTCCCATCATCCCGCCCCATTCCCCCCCTTTCCATCACCCCTCTACATTCTCCCTCCTTCCATCACCCCGCCCCATTCTCTCGCTTTCCATCACCCTGCCCCATTCTCCTGCTTTCCATCACCCCGCCCCATTCTCCCGCTTTCCATCACCCCAGCCCATTCTTCCTCCTTCCATCACCCCGCCCCATTCTCCCGCTTTCCATCACCCCGCCCCATTCTCCCTCATTCCATCACCCCGCCCCATTCTCCCGCTTTCCATCACCCCGCCCCATTCTCCTGCTTCCCATAACCCCACCCCATTCTCCTGCTTTCCATCACCCCGCCACATTTTCCCACTTTCCATCACCCCGCCCCCTTCTCTCTCCTTCCATCACCCCGCCCCATTCTCCCTCCTTCCATCACCCCGCCCCATTCTCCTGCTTTCCATCAGCCCGCCCCATTCTCCCGCTTTCCATCACCCCGCCCCTTTCTCCCGCTTTCCATCTCCCCGCCCCATTCTCCCGCTTTCCATCACCCCGCCCCATTCTCCCGCTTTCCATCACCCCGCCCCATTCTTCCGCTTCCCATCATCCCGCCCCTTTTCCCCGCTTTCCATCAACCCGCCCCATTCTCCCGCTTTCCATCACCTGCCCCTTTCTCCCGCTTTCCATCACCCCGCCTCAATCTTTTGCTTTCCATCACCCCGCCCAAATCTCCCGCTTTCCATCACCCTGCCCCATTCACCCGCTTTCCATCACCCGCCCCATTCTCCCGCTTTCCATCACCCCGCCCATTCTCCCGCTTTCCATCACCCCGCCCCATTCTCCCGCTTTCCATCCCCCCGCCCCATTCTCCCGCTTTCCATCACCCCGCCCCATTCTCCCGCTTTCCATCACCCAGCCTCATTCTCCCGCTTTCCATCACCCCGCCCCATTCTCCCGCTTTCCATCACCCCGCCCCATTCTCCCGCTTTCCATCACCCCGCCCCATTCTCCCTCCTTCCATCACCCCGCCCCATTCTCCCACTTTCCATCACCCCGTCCCATTCTCCCTCCTTCCATCACCCCGCCCCATTCTCCCTCCTTCCATCACCCCGCCCCATTCTCCCGCTTTCCATCAGCCCGCCCCATTCTCCCGCTTCCCATAACTCCACCCCCGTCTCCCGCTTTCCATCACCCCGCCACATTCTCCTGCTTTCTATCACCTCGCCCCATTCTCCCTCCTTCCATCACCCTGCCCCATTCCCCGCTTTCCATCACCCCGCCCCATTCTCTCGCTTTCCATCATCCCGCCCCATTCTCCCTCCTTCCATCACCCCGCCCCATTCTCCCGCTTTCCATCACTCCGCCCCATTCTCCCTCCTTCCATCACCCCGCCCCATTCTCCCTCCTTCCATCACCCCACCCCATTCTCCCGCTTTCCATCACCCCGCCCCATTCTCCCGCTTCCCATAACCCCACCCTATTCTCCCGCTTTCCATCACCCCGCCACATTCTCCCACTTTTCATCACCCCGCCCCCTTCTCTCTCCTTCCATCACCCCGCCCCATTCTCCCGCTTTCCATCAGCCCGCCCCATCCTCCCGCTTTCCATCATCCCTCCCATTTCTCCCACTTTCCATCTCCCCACCCCATTCTCCCGCTTTCCATCACCCCGCCCCATTCTCCCGCTTTCCATCACCCCGCCCCTTTCTCCCGCTTTCCATCTCCCCGCCCCATTCTCCCGCTTTCCATCACCCCGCCCCATTCTCCCGCTTTCCATCACCCCGCCCCATTCTTCCGCTTCCCATCATCCCGCCCCTTTTCCCCGCTTTCCATCAACCCGCCCCATTCTCCCGCTTTCCATCACCTGCCCCTTTCTCCCGCTTTCCATCACCCCGCCTCAATCTTTTGCTTTCCATCACCCCGCCCAAATCTCCCGCTTTCCATCACCCTGCCCCATTCACCCGCTTTCCATCACCCGCCCCATTCTCCCGCTTTCCATCACCCCGCCCATTCTCCCGCTTTCCATCACCCCGCCCCATTCTCCCGCTTTCCATCCCCCGCCCCATTCTCCCGCTTTCCATCACCCCGCCCCATTCTCCCGCTTTCCATCACCCAGCCTCATTCTCCCGCTTTCCATCACCCCGCCCCATTCTCCCGCTTTCCATCACCCCGCCCCATTCTCCCGCTTTCCATCACCCCGCCCCATTCTCCCTCCTTCCATCACCCCGCCCCATTCTCCCACTTTCCATCACCCCGTCCCATTCTCCCTCCTTCCATCACCCCGCCCCATTCTCCCTCCTTCCATCACCCCGCCCCATTCTCCCGCTTTCCATCAGCCCGCCCCATTCTCCCGCTTCCCATAACTCCACCCCCGTCTCCCGCTTTCCATCACCCCGCCACATTCTCCTGCTTTCTATCACCTCGCCCCATTCTCCCTCCTTCCATCACCCTGCCCCATTCCCCGCTTTCCATCACCCCGCCCCATTCTCTCGCTTTCCATCATCCCGCCCCATTCTCCCTCCTTCCATCACCCCGCCCCATTCTCCCGCTTTCCATCACTCCGCCCCATTCTCCCTCCTTCCATCACCCCGCCCCATTCTCCCTCCTTCCATCACCCCACCCCATTCTCCCGCTTTCCATCACCCCGCCCCATTCTCCCGCTTCCCATAACCCCACCCTATTCTCCCGCTTTCCATCACCCCGCCACATTCTCCCACTTTTCATCACCCCGCCCCCTTCTCTCTCCTTCCATCACCCCGCCCCATTCTCCCGCTTTCCATCAGCCCGCCCCATCCTCCCGCTTTCCATCATCCCTCCCATTTCTCCCACTTTCCATCTCCCCACCCCATTCTCCCGCTTTCCATCACCCCGCCCCATTCTCCCGCTTTCCATCACCCCGCCCCATTCTTCCGCTTCCCATCATCCCGCCCCATTCCCCCCCTTTCCATCACCCCTCCCCATTCTCCCTCCTTCCATCACCCCGCCCCATTCTCTCGCTTTCCATCACCCCGCCCCATTCTCCCGCTTTCCATCACCCTGCCCCATTCTCCCGCTTTCCATCACCCCAGCCCATTCTTCCTCCTTCCATCACCCCGCCCCATTCTCCCGCTTTCCATCACCCCGCCCCATTCTCCCTCATTCCATCACCCCGCCCCATTCTCCCGCTTTCCATCACCCCGCCCCATTCTCCTGCTTCCCATAACCCCACCCCATTCTCCTGCTTTCCATCAGCCCGCCACATTTTCCCACTTTCCATCACCCCGCCCCCTTCTCTCTCCTTCCATCACCCCGCCCCATTCTCCCTCCTTCCATCACCTTGCCCCATTCTCCTGCTTTCCATCAGCCCGCCCCATTCTCCCGCTTTCCATCACCCCGCCCCTTTCTCCCGCTTTCCATCTCCCCGCCCCATTCTCCCGCTTTCCATCACCCCGCCCCATTCTCCCGCTTTCCATCACCCCGCCCCATTCTTCCGCTTCCCATCATCCTGCCCCTTTTCCCCGCTTTCCATCACCCCTCCCCATTCTCCCTCCTTCCATCACCCCGCCCCATTCTCCCGCTTTCCATCACCCCGCCCATTCTCCCGCTTTCCATCACACCGCCTCAATCTTTTGCTTTCCATCACCCCGCCCCAATCTCCCGCTTTCCATCACCCTGCCCCATTCACCCGCTTTCCATCACCCGCCCCATTCTCCCGCTTTCCATCACCCCGCCCATTCTCCCGCTTTCCATCACCCCGCCCCATTCTCCCGCTTTCCATCCCCCCGCCCCATTCTCCCGCTTTCCATCACCCCGCCCCATTCTCCCGCTTTCCATCACTCCGCCCCATTCTCCCGCTTTCCATCACCACTCCCCATTCTCCCTCCTTCCATCACCCCGCCCCATTCTCCTGCTTTCCATCACCCCGCCCCATTCTCCCTCCTTCCATCACCCCGCCCCATTCTCCCTCCTTCCATCACCCCGCCCCATTCTCCCGCTTTCCATCACCCCGCCCCATTCTCCCGCTTCCCATAACCCCACCTCATTCTCCCGCTTTCCATCACCCCGCCTTATTCTCCCGATTCCATCACCCCGCCCCATTCTCCCGCTTTCCATCACCCCGCCCCATTCTCCCGCTTTCCATAACCCTGCCCCATTCTCCCGCTTTCCATCATCCCGCCCCATTCTCCCTCCTTCCATCACCCCGTCCCATTCCCCCGCTTTCCATCACTCCGCCCCATTCTCCCTCCTTCCATCACCCCGCCCCATTCTCCCTCCTTCCATCACCCCGCCCCATTCTCCCGCTTTCCATCACCCCGCCCCATTCTCCCGCTTCCCATAACCCCACCCCATTCTACCGCTTTCCATCACCCCGCCACATTCTCCCACTTTCCATCACCCCGCCCCCTTCTCTCTCCTTCCATCACCCCGCCCCATTCTCCCTCCTTCCATCACCCCGCCCCATTCTCCCTCCTTCCATCTCCCCGCCCCATTATCCCGCTTTCCATCACCCCGTCCCATTCTCCCTCCTTCCATCACCCCGCCCCATTCTCCCGCTTTCCATCACCCCTCCCCATTCTCCCTCCTTCCATCCGGGGTTATGGGAAGCGGGAGAATGGGGCGGGCTGATGGAAAGCGGGAGAATGGGGCGGGGTGATGGAAGGAGGGAGAATGGGCGGGGTGATGAAAGGAGGGAGAATGGGACGGGGTGATGGAAAGCGGGAGAATGGGGCGGGGAGATGGAAGGAGGGAGAATGGGGCGGGGTGATGGAAAGCGGGAGAATGGGGCGGGGTGATGGAAGGAGGGAGAATGGGGCGGGGTGATGGAAAGCGGGAGAATGGGACGGGATGATGGAAAGCGGGAGAATGGGGCGGGGTGATGGAAAGCGGGAGAATCGGGCGGGGTGATGGAAAGCGGGAAAATGGGGCGGGGTGATGGAAAGCGGGAGAATGGGGCTGGGTGATGGAAAGCGGGAGAATGGGGCGGGGTGATGGAAAGCGAGAGAATGGGGCGGGGTGATGGAAGGAGGGAGAATGGGGCGGGGTGATGGAAAGCGGGAGAATGGGGCGGGGTGATGGAAAGCGGGAGAATGGGGCAGAGTGATGGAAAGCGGGACAATGGGGCGGGGTGATGGAAAGCGGGAGAATGGGGCGGGGTGATGGAAAGCAGGAGAATGGGGAGGGGTGTTGGAAAGCGGGAGAATGGGGCGGGCTGATGAAAAGCGGGAGAATGGGGCGGGGTGCTGGAGAGCGGGAGAATGGGGCGGGTTGATGGAAAGCGGGAGATGGGGCGGGTGATGGAAAGCGGGTGAATGGTGCGGGGTGATGGAAAGCGGGAGAATGGGGCGGGGTGATGGAAAGCGGAAGAATGAGGCGGGGTGATGGAAAGCGGGAGAATGGGGCAGAGTGATGGAAAGCGGGACAATGGGGCGGGGTGATGGAAAGCGGGAGAATGGGGCGGGGTGATGGAAAGCAGGAGAATGGGGAGGGGTGTTGGAAAGCGGGAGAATGGGGCGGGCTGATGAAAAGCGGGAGAATGGGGCGGGGTGCTGGAGAGCGGGAGAATGGGGCGGGTTGATGGAAAGCGGGAGATGGGGCGGGTGATGGAAAGCGGGTGAATGGTGCGGGGTGATGGAAAGCGGGAGAATGGGGCGGGGTGATGGAAAGCGGAAGAATGAGGCGGGGTGATGGAAAGCGGGAGAATGGGGTGAGGTGATGGAAAGCAGGAGAATGGGGCGGGTGATGGAAAGCGGAGAATGGGGCGGGGTGATGGAAGGAGGGAGAATGGGGAGGGGTGATGGAAAGCGGGGGAATGGGGCGGGATGATGGGAAGCGGAAGAATGGGGCGGGGTGATGGAAAGCGGGAGAATGGGGCAGGGTGATGGAAAGCGGGAGAATGGGGCGGGGAGATGGAAAGCGGGAGAATGGGGTGGGGTGATGGAAGGAGGGAGAATAGGGCGGGGTGATGGAAGGAGGGAGAATGGGGCGGGGTGATGGAAAGTGGGAGAATGTGGCGGGGTGATGGAAAGCGGGAGATGGGGCTGGGGTTATGGGAAGCGGAGAATTGGGCGGGGTGATGGAAGGAGGGAGAATGGGGCGGGGTGATGGAAAGAGGGAGAATGGGGCGGGGTGATGGAAAGCAGGAGAATGGGGCGGGGTGATGGAAAGCGGGAGAATTGGGCGGGGTGATGGAAAGCGTGAGAATGGGGCGGGGTGATGGAAAGCGGGAGAATGGGGCGGGGTGATGGAAAGCAGGGGAATGGGGCGGGGTGATGGAAACCGGGAGAATTGGGCGGGGTGATGGATAGCGGGAGAATGGGGCGGGGTGATGGAAAGCGGGAGAATTGGGCGGGGTGATGGAAAGCGGGAGAACGGGGCGGGGTGATGGAAAGCGTGAGAATGGGGCGAGGTGATGGAAAGCGGGAGAATGGGGCGGGGTGATGGAAGGAGGGAGAATGGGGCGGGGTGATAGAAGGTGGGAGGATGGGGTGGGGTGATGGAAAGCGGGAGAATGGGGCGGGGTGATGGAAAGCGGGAGAATGGGGCGGGGTGGTGGAAAGCGGGAGAATGGGGCAGGGTGATCGAAGGAGAGAGAAGGGGGCGGAGTGATGGAAAGTGGGAGAATGTGGCAGGGTGATGGAAAGCGGGAGAATGGGGTGGGGTTATGGGAAGCGGGAGAATGGGGCAGGGTGATGGGAGGAGGGAGAATTGGGCGGGGTGATGGAAGGAGGGAGAATGGGGCGTGGTGATGGAAAGTGGGAGAATGGGGCGGGGTGATGGAAGGAGGGAGAATGGGGCGGGGTGATGGAAAGCGGGAGAATGGGGCGGGGTGATGGAAAGCGGGAGAATGGGGCGGGGTGATGGAAAGCGGGAGAATCGGGCGGGCTGATGGAAAGCGGGAGAAAGGGGCGGGGTGATGGAAGGAGGGAGAATGGGGCGGGCTGATGGAAAGCGGGAGAATGGGGCGGGGTGATGGAAGGAGGGAGAATGGGGCGGGGTGATGGAAAGTGGAAGAATGTGGCGGGTTGATGGAAAGCGGGAGAATGGGGCGGGGTTTTAGAAAGCGGGAGAATGGGGCGGGGTGGCGGAAAGCGGGAGAATGGGGCAGGGTGATGGAAGGAGGGAGAATGGGGCGGGGTGATGGAAAGCGGGAGAATGGGGCGGGGTGATGGAAAGCAGAAGAATAGTGCGGGGTGATGGAAAGCGGGTGAATGGGGTGGGGTAATGGAAAGCGGGAGAATGGGGCGGGGTGATAGAAAGAGGGAGAATGGGGCGGGGTGATGGAAAGCGGGAGAATGGGGCGGGGTGATGGAAAGAGGGAGAGTGGGGGGCGGGGTGATGGAAAGAGGTAGAATGGGGAGGGGTGATGGAAAGAGGGAGAATAGGGAGTGGTGATGGAAAGCGGGGGAATGGGGCGGGATGATGGGAAGCAGGAGAATGGGGCGGGGTGATGGAAAGCGGGAGAATGGGGCGGGTTGATGGAAAGCGGGAGAATGGGGCAGGGAGATGGAAAGCGGGAGAAAGGGGCGGGCTGATGGAAAGCGGGAGAATGGGGCGGGGTGATGGAAGGAGGGAGAATGGGGCGGGGTGATGGAAGGAGGGAGAAAGGGGCGGCGTGATGGAAAGCGGGAGAATGGAGCGGGGTGATGGAAAGCGGGAGAATGGGGCGGGGTGATGGAAGGAAGGAGAATGGGGCGGGGTGATGGAAAGCGTGAGAATGTGGCGGGGTGATGGAAAGCGGGAGAATGAGGTGGGGTTATGGGAAGCGGGAGAATGGGGCGGGGTGATGGAAAGCGGGAGAATGGGGCGGGGTGATGGAAGGAGGGAGAATAGCGCGGGGTGATGGAAAGCGGGAGAATGGGGCAGGGTGATGGAAGGAGGGAGAATGGGGCGGGGTGATGGAAAGCGGGAGAATGGGGCGGGGTGATGGAAGGAGGGAGAATGGGGCGGGGTGATGGAAAACGGGAGAATGGGGCGGTGTGATGGAAGGAGGGAGAATGGGGCGGGGTGATGGAAAGCGGGAGAATGGGGCGGGGTGATGGAAAGTGGGAGCATGGGGCGGGGTGATGGAAGGAGGTAGAATGGGGCGGGGAGATGGGAAGCGGGAGAATGGGGTGGGCTGATGGAAAGCGGGAGAATGGGGCGGGGTGATGGAAGGAGGGAGAATGGGGCGGGGTGATGGAAAGTGGGAGAATGGGGCGGGGTGATGGAAAGCGGGAGCATGGGGCGGGGTGATGGAAGGAGATAGAATGAGGCAGCGTGATGGAAGGAGGGAGAATGGGGCGGGGAGATGGAAAGCGGGAGAATGGGGCGGGGTGATGGAAAGCGGGAGAATGGGGCGGGGTGATGGAAAGCGGGAGAAAGGGGCGGGGTGACGGAAAGCGGGAGAATGGGGCGGGGTGATGGAAAGCGTGAGAATGGGGCGGGGTGATGGAAAGCGGGAGAATGGGGCGGGGTGATGGAAAGCGGGAGAATGGGGCGGGGTGATGGAAAGCGGGAGAATGGGGCGGGCTGATGGAAAGCGGGAGAATAGGGCGGGGTGATGGAAGGAGGGAGAAAGGGGCGGGGTGATGGAAGGAGGGAGAACGGGGCGGGTGATGGAAGGAGGGATAATGGGGCGGGGTTATGGAAAGCGGGAGAATGGGGCGGGGTGATGGAAAGCGGGAGAATGGGGCGGGGTGATGGAAGGAGGGAGAATGGGGCGGGGTGATGGAAAACGGGAGAATGGGGCGGGGTGATGGAAAGTGGGAGAATGGGGCGCGGTGATGGAAAGCGGGAGAATGGGGCGGTGTGATGGAAGGAGGGAGAATGGGGCGGGGTGATGGAAAGCGGGAGAATGGGCCGGGGTGATGGAAAGCGGGAGAATGGGGCGGTGTGATGGAAGGAGGGAGAATGGGGCGGGGTGATGGAAAGTGGGAGCATGGGGCAGGGTGATGGAAGGAGGTAGAATGGGGCAGGGAGATGGAAAGCGGGGGAATGGGGTGGGCTGATGGAAAGCGGGAGAATGGGGCGGGGTGATGGAAGGAGGGAGAATGGGGCGGGGTGATGGAAAGTAGGAGAATGGGGCGGGGTGATGGAAAGCGGGAGCATGGGGCGGGGTGATGGAAGGAGGTAGAATGAGGCGGGGTGATGGAAGGAGGGAGAATGGGGCGGGGAGATGGAAAGCGGGAGAATGGGGCGGGGTGATGGAAAGCGGGAGAATGGGGCGGGGTGACGGAAAGCGGGAGAATGGGGCGGGGTGATGGAAAGCGGGAGAATGGGGCGGGGTGATGGAAAGCGGGAGAATGGGGCGGGGTGATGGAAAGCAGGAGAATGGGGCGGGGTGATGGAAAGCGGGAGAATGGGGCGGGCTGATGGAAAGCGGGAGAATAGGGCGGGGTGATGGAAGGAGGGAGAAAGGGGCGGGGTGATGGAAGGAGGGAGAACGGGGCGGGTGATGGAAGGAGGGATAATAGGGCGGGGTGATGGAAGGAGGGAGAAAGGGGCGGGGTGATGGAAGGAGGGAGAATGGGGCGGGGTGATGGAAGGAGGGAGAAAGGGGCGGCGTGATGGAAAGCGGGAGAATGGAGCGGGGTGATGGAAAGTGGGAGAATGGGGCGGGGTGATGGAAGGAAGGAGAATGGGGCGGGGTGATGGAAAGCGTGAGAATGTGGCGGGGTGATGGAAAGCGGGAGAATGAGGTGGGGTTATGGGAAGCGGGAGAATGGGGCGGGGTGATGGAAAGCGGGAGAATGGGGCGGGGTGATGGAAGGAGGGAGAATAGCGCGGGGTGATGGAAAGCGGGAGAATGGGGCAGGGTGATGGAAGGAGGGAGAATGGGGCGGGGTGATGGAAAGCGGGAGAATGGGGCGGGGTGATGGAAGGAGGGAGAATGGGGCGGGGTGATGGAAAGTAGGAGAATGGGGCGGGGTGATGGAAAGCGGGAGCATGGGGCGGGGTGATGGAAGGAGGTAGAATGAGGCGGGGTGATGGAAGGAGGGAGAATGGGGCGGGGAGATGGAAAGCGGGAGAATGGGGCGGGGTGATGGAAAGCGGGAGAATGGGGCGGGGTGATGGAAAGCGGGAGAATGGGGCGGGGTGACGGAAAGCGGGAGAATGGGGCGGGGTGATGGAAAGCGGGAGAATGGGGCGGGGTGATGGAAAGCGGGAGAATGGGGCGGGGTGATGGAAAGCAGGAGAATGGGGCGGGGTGATGGAAAGCGGGAGAATGGGGCGGGCTGATGGAAAGCGGGAGAATAGGGCGGGGTGATGGAAGGAGGGAGAAAGGGGCGGGGTGATGGAAGGAGGGAGAACGGGGCGGGTGATGGAAGGAGGGATAATAGGGCGGGGTGATGGAAGGAGGGAGAAAGGGGCGGGGTGATGGAAGGAGGGAGAATGGGGCGGGGTGATGGAAGGAGGGAGAAAGGGGCGGCGTGATGGAAAGCGGGAGAATGGAGCGGGGTGATGGAAAGTGGGAGAATGGGGCGGGGTGATGGAAGGAAGGAGAATGGGGCGGGGTGATGGAAAGCGTGAGAATGTGGCGGGGTGATGGAAAGCGGGAGAATGAGGTGGGGTTATGGGAAGCGGGAGAATGGGGCGGGGTGATGGAAAGCGGGAGAATGGGGCGGGGTGATGGAAGGAGGGAGAATAGCGCGGGGTGATGGAAAGCGGGAGAATGGGGCAGGGTGATGGAAGGAGGGAGAATGGGGCGGGGTGATGGAAAGCGGGAGAATGGGGCGGGGTGATGGAAGGAGGGAGAATGGGGCGGGGTGATGGAAAACGGGAGAATGGGGCGGTGTGATGGAAGGAGGGAGAATGGGGCGGGGTGATGGAAAGCGGGAGAATGGGGCGGGGTGATGGAAAGTGGGAGAATAGGGCGGGGTGATGGAAGGAGGGAGAAAGGGGCGGGGTGATGGAAGGAGGGAGAACGGGGCGGGTGATGGAAGGAGGGATAATGGGGCGGGGTTATGGAAAGCGGGAGAATGGGGCGGGGTGATGGAAAGCGGGAGAATGGGGCGGGGTGATGGAAGGAGGGAGAATGGGGCGGGGTGATGGAATGCGGGAGATTGGGGCAGGGTGATGGAAAGCGTGAGAATGGGGCAGGGTGATAGAAAGCGGGAAAATGGGGCGGGGTGATGGAAAGTGGGAGAATGGGGCGGGGTGATGGAAAGCGGGAGAATGGGGCGGGTGATGGAAAGTGGGTGAATGGGGCGGGGTGATGGAAAGCAGGAGAATGGGGCGGGGTGATGGAAAGCGGGAGATGGGGCGAGGTGATGGAAAGCGGGAGAATGGGGCGTGTAATGGAAAGCGGGAGAATGGGGCGGGGTGATGGAAGGAGGGAGAATGGGGAGGGGTGATGGAAAGCGGGGGAATGGGGCGGGATGATGGGAAGCGGGAGAATGGGGCGGGGTGATGGAAAGCGGGAGAATGGGGCGGGGTGATGGAAAGCGGGAGAATGGGGCAGGGAGATGGAAAGCGGGAGAAAGGGGCGGGGTGATGGAAAGCGGGAGAATGGGGCGGGCGGATGGAAAGCGGGAGAATGGGGCGGGGTGATGGAAGGAGGGAGAATGGGGCGGGGTGATGGAAGGAGGGAGAAGGGGGCGGGGTGATGGAAAGCGGAAGAATGGCGCGGGGTGATGGAAGGAGGGAGAATGGGGCGGGGTGATGGAAAGCGGGAGAATGGGGCGGGGTGATGGAAAGCAGGAGAATGGTGCGGGGTGATGGAAACAAGAGAATGGGGCAAGGTGATGGAAAGAGGGAGAATGGGGCGGGGTGAAGGAAGGAGGGAGAACGGGGCGGGGTGGTGGAAAGAGGACGAAGGGGGCGGGATGATGGAAAGCGAGAGAATGGGCCGGGGTGTTGGAAAGCGGGAGAATGGGGCGGGGTGATGGAAAGCGGGAGAATGGGGCGGGGTGATGGAAAGCGGGAGAATGAGGCGGGGTGATGGAAAGCGGGAGAATGGGGCGGGTGATGGAAAGCGGGTGAATGGGGCAGGGTGATGGAAAGCGGGAGAATGGGGCGGGGTGATGGAAAGCAGAAGAATGGGGCGGGGTGATGGAAAGCGGGAGAATGGGGCGAGGTGATGGAAAGCGGGAGAATGGGGCGGGTGATGGAAAGCGGGAGAATGGGGCGGGGAGATGGAAAGCGGGAGAAAGGGGCGGGGTGATGGAAGGAGGGAGAATGGGGAGGGGTGATGGAAAGCGGGGGAATGGGGCGGGATGATGGGAAGCGGAAGAATGGGGCGGGGTGATGGAAAGCGGGAGAATGGGGCGGGGTGTTGGAAAGCGGGAGAATGGGGCGGGGTGATGAAAAGCGGGAGAATGGGGCGGGGTGATGGAAAGTGGGAGAATGGGGCGGGGTGATGGAAAGTGGGAGAATGGGGCGGGTGATGGAAAGTGGGTGAATGGGGTGGGGTGATGGAAAGCAGGAGAATGGGGCGGGGTGATGGAAAGCGGGAGATGGGGCAAGGGGATGGAAAGCGGGAGAATGGGGCGTGTAATGGAAAGCGGGAGAATGGGGTGGGGTGATGGAAGGAGGGAGAATGGGGAGGGGTGATGGAGAGTGGGGGAATGGGGCGGGATGATGGGAAGCGGGAGAATGGGGCGGGGTGATGGAAAGCGGGAGAATGGGGCGGGGTGATGGACAGCGGGAGAATGGGGCAGGGAGATGGAAAGCGGGAGAAAGGGGTGGGGTGATGGAAAGCGGGAGAATGGGGCGGGCTGATGGAAAGCGGGAGAATGGGGCGGGGTGATGGAAGGAGGGAGAATGGGGCGGGGTGATGGAAGGAGGGAGAAGGGGGCGGGTGATGGAAAGCGGAAGAAAGGCGCGGGGTGATGGAAAGCGGGAGAATGGGGTGGGGTGATGGAAAGCGGGAGAATGGGGCGGGGTGATGGAAAGCGGCAGAATGGTGCGGGGTGATGGAAAGCGGGAGAATGGGGCAGGGTGATGGAAAGCGGGAGAATGGGGCGGGGTGAAGGAAGGAGGGAGAACGGGGCGGGGTGATGGAAGGAGGAAGAAGGGGGCGGGGTGATGGAAAGCGAGAGAATGGGCCGGGGTGTTGGAAAGCGGGAGAATGGGGCTGGGTGATGGAAAGCGGGAGAATGGGGCGGGGTGATGGAAAGCAGAAGAATGGGGCGGGGTGATGGAAAGCGGGAGAATGGGGCGAGGTGATGGAAAGCGGGAGAATGGGGTGGGTGATGGAAAGCGGGAGAATGGGGCAGGGAGATGGAAAGCGGGAGAAAGGTGCGGGGTGATGGAAAGCGGGGGAATGGGGCGGGATGATGGGAAGCGGAAGTATGGGGCGGGGTGATGGAAAGCGGGAGAATGGGGCGGTGTGATGGAATGCGGGAGAATGGGGCGGGGAGATGGAAAGCGGGAGAAAGGAGCGGGGTGATGGAAAGCGGGAGAATGGAGTGGGCTGATGGAAAGAGGGAGAATGGGGCGGGGTGATGGAAGGAGAGAGAAGGGGTCGGGGTGATGGAAAGTGGGAAAATGTGGCGGGGTGATGGAAAGCGGGAGAATGGGGCGGGGTGATGGAACGCGGGAGAATGGAGCGGGGTGATGGAATGAGGGAGAATGGGGCGGGGTGATGGAAGGAGGGAGAATGGGGCGGGGTGATGGAAAGCGGGAGAATGGGGTGGGGTGATGGAAGGAAGGAGAATGGGGCGGGGTGATGGAAAGCGGGAGAATGGGTCGGGGTGATGGAAAGCGGGAGAATGGGGCGGGGTGATGGAAAGCGAGAGAATGGGGCGGGGTGATAGAAGGAGGGAGAATGGGGAGGGGTGATGGAAAGCGGGGGAATGGGGCGGGATGATGGGAAGGGGAAGTATGGGGCGGGATGATGGAAAGCGGGAGAATGGGGCGGGGTGGTGGAAAGCGGGAGAATGGGGCGGGGAGATGGAAAGCAGGAGAAAGGGGAGGGGTGATGGAAAGCGGGTGAATGGGGCGGGCTGATGGAAAGCGGGAGAATGGGGCAGGGTGATGGAAAGAGGGAGAATTGGGCGGGGTGATGGAAGGAGAGAGAAGGGTGCGGGGTGATGGAAAGTGGAAGATTGTGGCGGGGTGATGGAAAGCGGGAGAATGGGGTGGGGTTATGGGAAGCGGGAGAATGGGGCGGGGTGATGGAAAGCGGGAGAATGGGGCGGGGTGATGGAGGGAGGGAGAATGGGGCGGGGTGATGGAAGGAGGGAGAATGGGGCGGGGTGATGGAAAGCGGGAGAATGGGGCGGGGTGATGGAAGGAGGGAGAATGGGGCGGGGTGATGGAAAGCGGGAGAATGGGGCGGGGTGATGGAAAGCGGGAGAATGGAGCGGGGTGATGGAAAGCGGGAGAATGGGGCGGGTGATGGAAGGAGGAAGAAGGGGGCGGGGTGATGGAAAGCAAGAGAATGGGCTGGGGTGTTGGAAAGCGGGAGAATGGGGCGGGGTGATGAAAAGCGGGAGAATGGGGCGGGGTGATGGAAAGCGGGAGAATGGGGCGGGGTGATGGAAAGCGGGAGAATGGGGCGGGTGATGGAAAGCGGGTGAATGGGGCAGGGTGATGGAAAGCGGGAGAATGGGGCGGGGTGATGGAAAGCAGAAGAATGGGGCGGGGTGATGGAACGCGGGAGAATGGGGCGAGGTGATGGAAAGCGGGAGAATGGGGCGGGTGATGGAAAGTGGGAGAATGGGGCGGGGTGATGGAAGGAGGGAGATTGGGGAGGGGTGATGGAAAGCGGGGGAATGGGGCGGGATGATGGGAAGCGGAAGAATGGGGCGGGGTGATGGAAAGCGGGAGAATGGGGCGGTGTGATGGAAAGCGGGAGAATGGGGCAGGGTGATGGAAAGCGGGAGAATGGGGCGGGGTGAAGGAAGAAGGGAGAATGGGCCGGGGTGATGGAAGAAGGATGAAGGGGGCGGGGTGATGGAAAGTGGGAAAATGTGGCGGGGTGATGGAAAGCGGGAGAATGGGGTGGGGTTATGGGAAGCGGGAGAATGGGGCGGGTGATGGAAAGCGGGAGAATGGAGCGGGGTGATGGAATGAGGGAGAATGGGGCGGGGTAATAGAAAGCAGGAAAATGTGGTGGGGTGATGGAAAGCGGGAGAATGGGGTGGGGTTATGGGAAGCGGGAGAATGGGGCGGGGTGATGGAAAGCGGGAGAATGGGGCGGGGTGATGGAAGGAGGGAGAATGGGACGGGGTGATGGAAGGAGGGAGAATGGGGCGGGGTGATGGAAAGCGGGAGAATGGGGCGGGGTGATGGAAGGAGGGAGAATGGGGCGGGGTGATGGAAAGCGGGAGAATGGGGCGGGGTGATGGAAAGCAGGAGAATGGGGCGGGGTGATGGAAAGCGGGAGAATGGGGCTGGGTGATGGAAAGCGGGAGAATGGGGCGGGGTGATGGAAAGCGGGAGAATGGGGCGGGGTGATGGAAGGAGGGAGAATGGGGCGGGGTGATGGAAAGCGGGAGATTGGGGCAGGGTGATGGAAAGCGGGAGAATGGGGCGGGGTGATGGAAAGAGGGAGACTGAGGCGGGGTGATGGAAAGAGGGAGAATGGGGCGGGGTGATGGAAAGCGGGAGAATGGGGCGGGGTGACAGAAAGCGGGAGAATGGGGCGGGGTGATGGAAAGTGGGAGAATGGAGCGGGGTGATGGAAATAGGGAGAATGGGCCGGGGTGATGGAAAGCGGGAGAACGGGGCGGGGTGGTGGAAAGAGGGGGAATGGGGCGGGGTAACGAAAAGAGGGAGAATGGGACGGGGTGATGGAAAGCGGGAGAATGGGGCGGGGTGATGGAAAGCGGGAGAATAAGGCGGGGTGATGGAAAGTAGGAGAATGGGGCGGGGTGATGGAAAACGGGAGAATGGGCCAGGGTGATGGAAAGCGGGAGAATGGGGCGGGGTGATGAAAAGCGGGAGAATGGGGCGAGGTGATGGAAAGCGGGAGAATGGGGCGCAGTGATGGAAAGCAGGAGAATGGGGCGGGGTGATGGAAAGCTTGAAAATGGGGCGGGGTGGTGGAAAGCGGGAGAATGGGGCGGGGTGATGGAAAGCGGGAGAATGGGGCGGGGTGATGGAAAGCGGGAGAATGGGGCAGGGTGGTGGAAAGCGGGAGAATGGGGCAGGGTGGTGGAAAGCGGGAGAAATGGCCGGGGTGATGGAAAGCGGGAGAATGGGGCGGGGTGATGGAAAGCGGGAGAATGGGGCGGGGTGATGGAACGCGGGAGAAAGGGGTGGGGTGATGGAAAGCGGGAGAGTGGGGCGGGGTGATGGAAAGAGGGAGAATAGGGTGGGGTGATGGAAAGAGGGAGAATGGGGCAGGGTGATGGAAAGAGGGAGAATGGGGCGGGGTGATCGAAAGCGGGAGAATGGGGCGGGGTGATGGAAAGCGGGAGAATGGGGCGGGGTGATGAAAAGCGGAAGAATGGGGCGGGGTGAAGAAAAGCGGGAGAATGGGGCGGGCTGATGGAAAGAGGGGGAATGGGGTGGGGTGATGGAAAGAGGAAGAATGGGGCAGGGTGATGAAAAGCGGAAGAATGGGGTGGGGTGATGGAAAGAGGGAGAATGGGGCGGGGTGAAGAAAAGCGGGAGAATGGGGCGGGTTGATGGAAAGAGGGAGAATGGGGCGGGGTGAATGGGGCGGGGTGATGGAAAGCGGACGAATGGGGCGGGGTGATGGAAACCGGGAGAATGGGGCGGGGTGATGGAAAGCGGGAGAATGGGGCGGGGTGATGGAAAGCGGGAGAATGGGGCGGGGTGATGGAAAGCGGGAGAATGGGGCGGGTGATGGAAAGCGGGAGAATGGGGCGGGGTGATGTAAAGCGGGAGAATGGGGCGGGGTGATGGAAAGAGGGAGAATGGGGTGGGGTAATGGAAAGAGGGAGAAAGGAGCGGGTGATTAAAAGAGTGAGAATGGGGCGGGGTGATGGAAAGCGGGAGAATGGGGCGGGGTGATGGAAAGCGGGAGAATGGGGCGGGGTGATGGAAAGCGGGAGAATGGGGCGGGGTGATGGAAAGCGGGAGAATGGGGCGGGGTGATGGAAAGAGGAAGAAAGAGACGGGGTGATTGAAAGCGGGAGAATGGGGCAAAGTGATGGAAAGCGAGAGAATGGGGCGGGGTGATGGAAAGCGGGAGAATGGGGCGGGGTAATGGAAAGCGGAAGAATGGGGCGGGGTGACGGAAAGCGGGAGAATGGGGCGGGGTGATGGAAAGCGGGAGAATGGGGCGGGGTGATGGAAAGCGGGAGAATGGGGCGGGGTGATGAAAAGCGGGAGAATGGGGCGGGGTGATGGAAAGCGGGAGAATGGGGCGGGGTGATGGAAACCGGGAGAATGGGGCGGGTGATGGAAAGCGGGAGAATGGGGCGGGGTGATGGAAAGCGGGAGAATGGGGCGGGGTGATGGAAAGCAGGAGAATGGGGCAGGGTGATGGAAAGCGGGAGAATGGGGCGGGGTGATGGAAATTGGGAAAATGGGGCGCGGTGATGGAAAGCGAGAGAATGGGGCGGGGTGATGGAAAGAGGGAGAATGGGGCGGGTTGATGGATCGCGGGAGAATGGGGCAGGGTGATGGAAAGGGGGAGAATTGGGCAGGGTGATGGAAAGATGGAGAATGGGGCGGGGTGATGGAAGGCGGGAGAATGGGGCAGGGTGATGGAAAGAGGGAGAATGGGGCGGGGAGATAGAAAGCAGGAGAATGGGGCAGGGTGATAGAAAGAGGGAGAATGGGGAGGGGTGATGGAAAGAGTGAGAATGGGGCAGGGTGGTGGAAAGCGGGAGAATGGGGCGGGGTGATGGAAATCGGAAGAATGGGGCGGGGTGATGGAAAGCGAGAGAATGGGGCGGGGTGATGGAAATCGGGAGAATGGGGCGGGGTGATGGAAAACGGGAGAATAAGGCGGGGTGATGGAAAGCGAGAGAATGGGGCGGGGTGATGGATAGAGGGAGAATGGGGCGGGGTGATGGAAAGTGGGAGAATGGGGCGGGGTGATAGAAAGAGGGAGATTGGGGCGGGGTGATGGAAAGCGTGAGAATGGGGCGGGGTGATGGAAAGAGGGAGAATGGGGCGGGGTGATGGAAGGCGGGAGAATGGGGCGGGGTGATGGAAAGCGGGAGAATTGGGCGGGGTGATGGAAAGCGGGAGAATGGGGCGGGGTGATGAAAGGCGGGAGAATGGGGCGGGGTGATGGAAAGAGGGAGAATGGGGCGGGGTGATGGAAAGCGGGAGAATGGGGCGGGGTGATGGAAAGAGGGAGAACGGGGAGGGGTGATGGAAAGCGTTAGAACGGGGCAGGGTGATGGAAAGCGGGAGAATTGGGCGGGGTGATGGAAAGCGAGAGGAATGGGGCGGGGTGATGAAAGGCGGGAGAATGGGGCGGGGTGATGGAAAGAGGGAGAATGGGGCGGGGTGATGGAAAGGGGGAGAATGGGGTGGGGAGATGGAAAGAGGGAGAATGGGGCGAGGTGATGGAAACAGGGAGAATGGGGCGGGGTGACGGAAAGAGGGAGAGTTGGACGGGGTGATGGAAAGAGGGAGAATGGGGCGGGGAGATGGAAAGAGGGAGAATGGAGAGGGGTGATGGAAAGCGGGAGAATTGGGCGGGGTGATGGAAAGCGGGAGAATGGAGCAGGGTGATGGAAAGCGGGAGAATGGGGTGGGGTTATAGAAAGCGGGAGAATGGGGCGGGATGATGGAAAGAGGGAGAATGGGGCGGGGTGATGGAAAGCAGGAGAATGGGGCGGGGTAATGGAAAGAGGGAGAATGGGGCGGGGTGATGGAAATCGGGAGAATGGGGCGTGGTGATGGAAAGAGGGAGAATGGGGAGGGGTGATGGAAAGAGGGAGAATTGGGCGGGGTGATGGAAAGCGGGAGAATGGGGCGGGGTGATGGAAAGCGGGAGAATGGGGCGGGGTGATGGAAAGCGGGAGAATGGGGCGGGGTGATGGAAAGCGGAAGAACGGGGCGGGGTGATGGAAAGAGGGAGAATGGGGCGGGGTGATGGAAAGCGGGAGAATGGGGCGGGTGATGGAAAGCGGGAGAATGGGGCGGGGTGATGGAAAGCGGGAGAATGGGGTGGGGTGATGGAAAGCGGGAGAACGGGGCGGGGTGATGGAAAGAGGGAGAAAGGGGCGGGGTGATGGAAAGCGGGAGAATGGGGCGGGGTGATAGAAAAAGGGAGAATGGGGCGGGGTGATGGAAAGCGGGAGAATGGGTCGGGGTGATGGAAAGAGGGAGAATGGGGCGGGGTGATGGAAAGAGGGAGAATGGGGCAGGATGACGGAAATCGGGAGAATGGGGCGGGGTGATGGAAAGAGGGAGAATAGGGCGAGGTGACGGAAATCGGGAGAATGGGGCGGGGTGATGGAAAGAGGGAGAATGGGGCGGGGTGATGGAAAGAGGGAGAATGGGGCGGGGTGATGGAAAGAGGGAGAATGGGGCGGGGAGATGGACAGAGGAAGAATGGGGCGGGGTGATGGAAAGAGGGAGAATGGGGCGGGGTGACGGAAATCGGGAGAATGGGGCGGGGTGATGGAAAGAGGGAGAATGGGGCAGGGTGACGGAAATCGGGAGAATGGGGCGGGGTGATGGAAAGAGGGAGAATGGGGCGGGGTGATGGAAAGCGGGAGAATGGGGCGGGGTGATGGAAAGCGGGAGAATGGGGCGGGGTGATGGAAAGAGGGAGAATGGGGCGGGGTGATGGAAAGCGGGAGAATGGGGCGGGGTGATGGAAAGCGGGAGAATGGGGCGGGGTGATGGAAAGAGGGAGAATGGGGCGGGGTGATGGAAAGCGGGAGAATGGGTCGGGGTGATGGAAAGAGGGAGAATGGGGCGGGGTGATGGAAAGTGGGAGAATGGGGCAGGATGACGGAAATCGGGAGAATGGGGCGGGGTGATGGAAAGAGGGAGAATGGGGCGGGGTGACGGAAATCGGGAGAATGGGGCGGGGTGATGGAAAGAGGGAGAATGGGGCGGGGAGATGGAAAGAGGAAGAATGGGGCGGGGTGATGGAAAGCAGGCGAATGGGGCAAGGTGATAGAAAGAGGGAGAATGGGACGGGGTGATGGAAAGCGGGAGAATGGGGCGGGGTGATGGAAAGCGGGAGAATGGGGCGGGGTGATGGAAAGAGGGAGAATGGGGCCGGGTGATGGAAAGAGGGAGAATGGGGCGGGGTGATGGAAAGCGGGAGAATGGGGCGGTGTGATGGAAAGAGGGAGAATGGGGCGGGGTGATGAAAAGCGGGAGAATGGGTCGGGGTGATGGAAAGAGGGAGAATAGGGCGGGATGATGGAAAGAGGGAGAATGGGGCAGGATGACGGAAATCGGGAGAATGGGGCGGGGTGATCGAAAGAGGGAGTATGGGGCGAGGTGACGGAAATCGGGAGAATGGGGCGGGGTGATGGAAAGAGGGAGAATGGGGCGGGGTGATGGAAAGATGGAGAATGGGGCGGGGTGATGGAAAGAGGGAGAATGGGGTGGGGAGATGGAAAGAGGAAGAATGGGGCGGGGTGATGGAAAGAGGGAGAATGGGGCGGGGTGACGGAAATCGGGAGAATGGGGCGGGGTGATGGAAAGAGGGAGAATGGGGCGGGGAGATGGAAAGAGGAAGAATGGGGCGGGGTGATGGAAAGCGGGCGAATGGGGCGGGGTGATGGAAAGAGGGAGAATGGGACGGGGTGATGGAAAGCGGGAGAATGGGGTGGGGTGATGGAAAGCGGGAGAATGGGGCAGGGTGATGGAAAGAGGGAGAATGAGGCCGGGTGATGGAAAGAGGGAGAATGGGGCGGGGTGATGGAAAGCGGGAGAATGGGGCGGGGTGAACGAAAGAGGGAGAATGGGGAGGGGTGATGGAAATAGGTAGAATTGTGCGGGGTGCTGGAAAGCGGGAGAATGGAGCGGGGTGATGGAAAGAGTGAAAATGGGGCAGGGTGATGGAAAGCGGGAGAATGGGGCGGGGTGATGGAAAAAATGGAGAATGAGGCGGGGTGATGGAAAGCGGGAGAATGGGGCGGGGTGATGGAAAGCGGGAGAATGGGGCGGGGTGATGGAAAGCGGGAGAATGGGGCGGGGTGATGGAAAGCAGGAGAATGGGGCGGAATGATGGAAAGCGGGAGAATGGGGCGGGGTGATGGAAAGCGGGAGAATGGGGTGGGGTTATGGAAATCGGGAAAATGGGGCGGGGTGATGGAAAGCGAGAGAATGGGGCGGGGTGATGGAAAAAGGGAGAATGGGGCGGGGTGATGTATGGCGGGAGAATGGGGCGGGGTGATGGAAAGGGGGAGAATTGGGCAGGGTGATGGAAAGATGGAGAATGGGGCGGGGTGATGGAAGGCGGGAGAATGGGGCGGGGTGATGGAAAGAGGGAGAATGGCGCGGGGAGATAGAAAGCAGGAGAATGGGGCGGGGTGATGGAAAGCGGGAGAATGGGGCGGGGTGATGGAAAGAGGGAGAATGGGGCCGGGTGATGGAAAGAGGGAGAATGGGGCGGGGTGATGGAAAGCGGGAGAATGGGGCGGTGTGATGGAAAGAGGGAGAATGGGGCGGGGTGATGGAAAGCGGGAGAATGGGTCGGGGTGATGGAAAGAGGGAGAATAGGGCGGGATGATGGAAAGAGGGAGAATGGGGCAGGATGACGGAAATCGGGAGAATGGGGCGGGGTGATCGAAAGAGGGAGTATGGGGCGAGGTGACGGAAATCGGGAGAATGGGGCGGGGTGATGGAAAGAGGGAGAATGGGGCGGGGTGATGGAAAGATGGAGAATGGGGCGGGGTGATGGAAAGAGGGAGAATGGGGTGGGGAGATGGAAAGAGGAAGAATGGGGCGGGGTGATGGAAAGAGGGAGAATGGGGCGGGGTGACGGAAATCGGGAGAATGGGGCGGGGTGATGGAAAGAGGGAGAATGGGGCGGGGTGACGGAAATCGGGAGAATGGGGCGGGGTGATGGAAAGAGGGAGAATGGGGCGGGGAGATGGAAAGAGGAAGAATGGGGCGGGGTGATGGAAAGCGGGCGAATGGGGCGGGGTGATGGAAAGAGGGAGAATTGGACGGGGTGATGGAAAGCGGGAGAATGGGGTGGGGTGATGGAAAGCGGGAGAATGGGGCGGGGTGATGGAAAGAGGGAGAATGAGGCCGGGTGATGGAAAGAGGGAGAATGGGGCGGGGTGATGGAAAGCGGGAGAATGGGGCGGGGTGATGGAAAGAGGGAGAATGGGGAGGGGTGATGGAAATAGGGAGAATTGGGCGGGGTGATGGAAAGCGGGAGAATGGAGCGGGGTGATGGAAAGAGTGAAAATGGGGCAGGGTGATGGAAAGCGGGAGAATGGGGCGGGGTGATGGAAAAATGGAGAATGAGGCGGGGTGATGGAAAGCGGGAGAATGGGGCGGGGTGATGGAAAGCGGGAGAATGGGGCGGGGTGATGGAAAGCGGGAGAATGGGGCGGGGTGATGGAAAGCATGAGAATGGGGCGGGGTGATGGAAAGCATGAGAATGGGGCGGGGTGATGGAAAGCGGGAGAATGGGGCGGGGTGATGGAAAGCGGGAGAATGGGGCGGGGTTATGAAAATCGGGAAAATGGGGCAGGGTGATGGAAAGCGAGAGAATGGGGCGGGGTGATGGAAAAAGGGAGAATGGGGCGGGGTGATGGATGGCGGGAGAATGGGGCGGGGTGATGGAAAGGGGGAGAATTGGGCAGGGTGATGGAAAGATGGAGAATGGGGCGGGGTGATGGAAGGCGGGAGAATGGGGCGGGGTGATGGAAAGAGGGAGAATGGCGCGGGGAGATAGAAAGCAGGAGAATGGGGCGGGGTGATGGAAAGAGGGAGAATGGGGAGGGGTGATGGAAAGAGTGACAATGGGGCAGGGTGATGGAAAGCGGGAGATTGGGGCGGGGTGATGGAAAGCAGGAGAATGGGGCAGGGTGATGGAAATCGGAAGAATGGGGCGGGGTGATGGAAAGCGGGAGAATGGGGCGGGGTGATGGAAATCGGGAGAATGGGGCGGGGTGATGGAAAACGGGAGAATAAGGCGGGGTGATGGAAAGCGAGAGAATGGGGCGGGGTGATGGATAGAGGGAGAATGGGGCGGGGTGATGGAAGGTGGGAGAATGGGGCGGGGTGATGGAAAGAGGGAGATTGGGGCGGGGTGATGGAAAGCGTGAGAATGGGCCGGGGTGATGGAAAGAGGGAGAATGGGGCGGGGTGATGGAAGGCGGGAGAATGGGGCGGGGTGATGGAAAGCGGAAGAATGGGGCGGAGTGATGGAAAGCGGGAGAATGGGGCGGGGTGATGAAAGGCGGGAGAATGGGGCGGGGTGATGGAAAGAGGGAGAATGGGGCGGGGTGATGGGAAGAGGGAGAATGGGGCGGGGTGATGGAAAGCGGGAGAATGGGGCGGGGAGATGGAAAGAGGGAGAATGGGGCGAGGTGATGGAAACAGGGAGAATGGGGGGGGATGATGGAAAGCGGGAGAATGGGGCGGGGTGATGGAAGGCGGGAGAATGGGG